TTTTGGTTGGGGTTTTGGGGGGGAGGGTAAGGAATTCTTCTGGTCCGGTACCCCAGGGGTTCGCGGGGGGGTTCTCACGGGAAAAACCTTTTTGTACCGGGGTGAGCCCGGGGGGGCCCGGCCGGGAATTGGGATTCCGGACAGGGGCCCCCGGGGACCTTGTCGCCCTTTCTAAAACCTTTTCCGGGGGGAAAATTCCCCCAGGGGGGGGCCGCAGTGAGGTTGTCCCCCCCCCCCCCCCCCCCAAAAAAAAAAAAAAACAAAAAAAAAAACGGCGGGGTGCCTTTGCTTCAGAGGGTCATCCATGAAAATTCATGACGCCGACATGGAGGTGGCCCACGTCCCAGGTTGCCCAGGACAGCGGAAGCTCCCCCCCTCCCCTCCCTCCCGGGGACCTAGACAGAGTCTAGAGCACGGAACACAGGCCACAGAGCCCCGGCTGCCTCGTGTTCCTAAGAATGGAATAAAGCCCGACACCCTCACGAGGTCATGCGGCTGTCAAATCTGACCGACATCTAGTTACTATCTACCTACATACATCCGTGCCAACCAACTATCGAACGGAGGTGGTGATGGACGCGATGCTGCGTTGAGGCTTGTTCGAAAGACGGGCCGGATCGGCTTGCCTGGACTGATCTGACCGGAGTCACTAGACCGGGCAACACGCTCACCCAATGTCGAGTGTCCCCAGGTTGCAACAAGCCGACACCAAGCAGTGGACGAGAGCCGGTACAGGCCTACCATATCTGCACCTTGGCTGCACGCAACAGATAGGCCGCGACTCCAAACACCCTCTGCCAATCTATTTAAGTTTGAAGCATCACCCCTGCTTCCAACCACTCGAGTCCTTCGTTTTACCTGTCACCTCGACCTCGACCGTTTTTATTTCTACGCCAAACACTCGACATTATCTGCTTTGATATTTCTCATGCCTTGACTTCGACAAACACACGCTTGGGTGTTTGCCCGAGACCCGTCCAGTCGCGGACCCCGTACGCTCGTTTGCCTCGTTTTCCGGCCCGCTTTAATAACACCTACCTACCTACCTAACCCTTTACCCCTCCGATACTGGCTGCTGATCTACATCTTTTGGACCGTAATCATGGTTACCAACAACCTCATCCCGGATATGATGCCCGCCCACTGCTGGTCTCATCCCATACACTCGGTGCCGCTCCGACGGGGCCAGGGCACTCACGGCACCGTTTTACCACATCGCTCGACCCCAACACCTCATGGCCCCAACGGTGGTAGGGCGTCTGTCGTACTTGAATCAACCTCGTCTGGGATGCGAAGGCAGAGTCTAGCCACACCAGCGCCGTCCTCCACATGCAACGCCAATCCGATGAAAAAGAAATCAGCAGGATCAAATGAAGCCTCCAGTGGGCTGCTTAACGGGGAGGAGGATGACCAAGTCCTCGGCCCTGGTCCGCTTACAACGACCGCTGCCGCTTCCACGCCCCAGAAACCGATTCGCCGCCGAATGCGCATGATTACCTCCTGCCTCGAATGTCGACGACGCAAGCTCAAGTGCGAAAAGAAACATCCGTGCCACAATTGCAAAAGGTTTCAGAGGGAATGTGTCTACCTAGGCCCTAATCTTGATGAGGCTAGCCAGCAACGCTTGACCGAGATCAAGGAAAAGGTTGGCTCGCTCGAAAGACAACTGGAGCGTGATGTGGCTAAGGGAGCAACCACCCGCCGCAGTGGCAGTGGGAGCCCCGACGACGGCTCCGACCCCCATCATCAGCGGTTTGTGGCAGATGATGTCGAGAACGACCTCGGCGAGGAGCGAGAGCTGCAGATTACCCCGATGGTGGCTCTCGACCTCACCTACGACGACTATTCCGACGGCAACGGAACCGACGATCTCATTGACCTCGGCATCCGCGTTGGAAAGATGAGAATAACGGAGCGGATTGGCGGGCTAAACAGACCGCGCATATCGGAAGAGGTACGCGCTATAGCACGGAGAGGTCTCCCCAACCACTATGCTAACGCCGCCTAGATTCAAGCCGGGATAGCCGATACCCAGAATCAACTGTACGGCACACAAAGCGCCTTCGTGGCCAGCGGTGGGCTACAAGACGTCCCTGATATCCCAGATTTCCTCAAGCCCGGAGATTCATATCTTGCTCCAACTAGCGGCTTCTTTTTTGGTCAGTTTACCGAGTCGCCGACTTTGCTTGGCCTGCTGCCGCCCATTGAATTGGGCCACCGGTTGATGCACCGCTACCTTGAGGCCGTCCACCCTATCGCACGATGCGTTCACCGATCCTCCTTTGAGGCGATTTACACGTCGTTTTGGGAGGAGGTTAGGCAGGGCATCGAGCCTCGTGCCTCGGTACAAGCCGTTGTCTTCGCGGCCTGGTTCAGCGCTGCTGTTAGTGTGGACGACAGTTTTTGCCGGGGCCAGGACTGCAGCAAAGCCCAGCTAGTACTGCACATGAAGATTGGGACCGAAACTGCTTTGAGCAAGGCCAACTTCCTAAGCACGACCAGGTTCGAGACTCTGCAGGGCTTTGTCATGTATCTGGTGAGTTACGCGTTGAACTGTTTCCTGAGCAAGCTAACAGACACCAGCTTCCGCTCTGCCGAGACGAGATTTCCAGGGCTCATTCGGTCCTGGTCGGTGCCGCTGTCCGGGTGGCCGAGTGCATGGGCCTTCACCGCGATGGCTCTGCATACGGCCTCACCCCTTTGGAGACGCAAGTTAGGCGCCTGGTTTGGCACCAGCTGTGTTTTCTTGATGTCCGCACATGCGAGGCCCAAGGGCCAAAACCGGCGATACGGCGCGAGGACTACGACACCAAGATGCCCTTCAATTGCGAAGAGGACCAACTGACGCCGCAGGCGGCGGTCTGGCCGGCACCGGCAGAAGCGTGGACCTCAATGCTCCTGCCGATCATGCGGTCTGAGATCAACGAGATGATGCGCAACATCTGGACAGACCGGCGCAAGCTGGAAAACCGGAAGACGACGTTGACTGCCATGCTCACCCGTGTTGAGAACTTCCGGAAGCGGATGCTAGAGAAGTACAGCCGGCAACTTGACGACCGGGTACCAATACAAATGTACGCCCGGCTTGTGATGGAGCTGCTTATTTTCCGGCTCCATGTCATGGTGCTACACCCTTATCACTCCAACGCGGCAGACCCTCTACCCGAGAAGCTGAGCGGTTTGCTGGTCACCAGCGGCGTTATGATCATCGAAATTGCCATCCGCCTGGAGACGAATCCCATGTTTCGAGATTGGGCGTGGTATCTCGGGGCCTACCAGCAATATCAGATCGCACTGCTGCTCGCGACCGAAGTGTTCTACCGGCCCAACCACCGGGCAGCCGAACGCATATGGCCCTGCCTCGACTGGGTGTTCCAGCTTGACCCGAACGTGCCGCGGGAGCAAAAGAGTTTGCAGATATTGACCGAGATCATGAGCAAGACGAACCTCTACATGAGTCTCCGCAAGGTCCGCGCCCCGACAACCATCAACAAGGCAGTGCCCGGAAAGAAAGCTGTCAAAGAATCTCCGCCGCCGCCGCCGCCGCTCCCGGAGCACCCACCTCTTCAAACACAATCTCAAGGGCACCCTTACCCACCCGCCTCGCAACCCCGCCATTCTGCGGCTGAGGCCGTCCCCGTGCTCAAGACAGAACACATTACTTGTCCTCCTCCCTTGTCGTCGTCTCCGTCCGGGCCTATAAACAGCACCTTTGTCCCCAATACGTTGCCGCCGTCTTCGTTTTCCATGGACATGATGCTTCCGCCTCAGCCACAACTGCAGGACCCACGTCAGCACCACTACCAACAGCAGCATCAACATCAGCATCAACACCAGCAACACCAGCACCAACACCAAAATCAACAATACCAGCATCAGCACCAGCAGCATCAGCCGCTCGACTTTCCACCACCGAATCATCATCATATGGTCTTCACGGGTGTGACCAACGGCGAGGCCCTCTGGGGTTTGCCACCGCAGAACGCCGGCGCAGGGAGCCCCGAGAATAGCAGCGACGGTGGGAGCGTGGCCGGCCAGCAGCGGCACGGAAGCTTCGCCGGCCCGGTGGGGCACCCGATGGGACAGCCGCCGGTGATTAATGTAATGCAGGACCTTGACTGGGTGAGCTTTCCCGTTCTCCCTTTAAAACCCATGTGTCATGAGCGAAAGGAGGGCTAACGACAACACAGGAGGCTCTCAATGAACTGTTCCCGACAGACCCACAGACGGGCCAACTGAGTTTCGATACGTTTCTCGAAAGCGGGATGGGTCCGTGGTAGGGTGGTGTGTGTTGTGGCATTGGTTCAGGAGTGTCTAATGTTACCCCATGTGGGTGTTTGTGTGCTCGATGCAGTCGGTTTAAGGGTTTTGAAAAGAGCGTGGTGGATAGCGGGACGGAATTGTTCTTGTTCAAAGTGTATGTAACGGGGCGCGTATCTGAGATCCAGGTATAGAGCGTTAATTGTCTGTTATGATCCACGGCTGAACTAATCAATCCAGGGAGAGGTAGATCAGTATGGCTCTGTTGTGGTTTGAGGTTATAAAGAGACGAGATTCGGAATTGCTACCAACCCGACTTATTATCTGCAAATTAACGTCCTTACGCTTGGAGGGCTGGCTGCGTTAACTACGGGACAAGATACATCGTTGAGAGTGGATCTGTAGTTCGATGGCAATGGCATGCTAATACCAGATCTACCGAATGTATATCCTTCGACCTTTCTTTACACTCTTAAGTTTAGGTTGTATGTAAACTACTGTGATGTAAATAGTGGTGTAGTATATGCACTGCCGGCTCTTGTTCCCTAAGTCTACCCAAATCTAACCCGTCCCATCTAAATCGATGCACCCAATATACCATCCATACACTAACTAGGTACACCAACGATGAAGACACCCCACCTTCCCACCCTCTGCCGTCTAGAGCCACCTCAAGCCATGGGAGCACGGAGCCTGCAAGTTTCGACTAGGTCGAGCTTCCCCTGTTTCGATAAGCACTGGGCACTGTCCCCACTGCCCAAGACCCGAAAACCCCTGGAAAGCGGGCAGTGAGGACAGGCGCGATGCTGTCGATCCATCAAAACCCCC